ACCGAAGGAGCGATATATTCGTCTTGCCTAAGATGGTGAGCAGGCAGGCAGTCGTGGCTGTCGAAGAGATCCGAGTGAAAGTCGTAGTTGACCTTCTCCATCGCCCTTCCGAGATGCAGTAACTGTTCCGTTTAGACGCCGAAAGGAAGTCATCGTGGTCTCGTAATTGGCAAAGCTCCGTCGGGCTTTCCGGTCTCGGTTCGTCCAAAACTGCTGCTCTTCTCTCTTTCAGATCTTCTTTTATCGCTTCTCTGCATAGCTTCGCAAGTTCGGAAGTTTGTTGATGATTGCTTGCGGCTTGCGCGATTCCACGCTGGCGTATCAGCTCGGCAGCCTTCAAAGAGAGTCGTTTCTCGGCTACTTGTCGACTCTGTTTTCCTCGCACTACCGTGAAGATGTTCGACAAGCCGGTTGTATTCTTCGACAAACGAAATCTTCCAATTTACTCGCAAGAAAAGCGAAGGTTTCGAGGATTCGTTTCCCAAACTTCATAGCTCTCTCTCCACGCACTGAGAAGCAGAGTTTAGTGCGGAGGAGACGATGGTCCGATCCCGTGTAGAACTTCGGAACAACAGCGACNTCAGTCAGGCGAAACCTCCGATTGGAGATGATGTGGTCTGCTTCATTATGGAACTGTTCACCGGTTACTCCCATGTCCTCGCAAACGAGAGGACTTCTCGAACTGCGAGTTACCATGGGTGGTGTGGGTCGACATGATGAACTCGGGCAGCTTTTCACCCTGCTCATAACATCCCATTCCGTGAGTCCCGATGTGGAGCATTTCAGCCGTTCATCTGAGGCCAATCTTGACGTCGAAATCACCGACGATGACCTTGAAAAAGTATGGAATTCCCTGCAGAACCTCCCCAAATCCTTATGAAACGCTTACAACTCCTCGATTGGGAAGTAAAAAACTTAAAACGGCATACACTAGATACAATTCTTCTAAGAACACGTCCCCATAGCCAAGGTGATTAGCTTAAGGTTGCCCTATCCTGTGAATTGCACTCCGATTCAAGCGAAAACAAAACTGCGAACTCCATGTTCGCCTTTCCTTAAACCTGGGCATTTGTAATATTATTTTTCAAATCTTCTGTGCCATACAGGTTTTTTAATGGTGAAGCCTTTATTCGCCTGACGTTTCGACTATCTCGTCGTTATCGAAGGCCTGAAAGCGTATCGCAACTTTATAGTGTTACCTATCACGCTTGAAGTAGACCAGCTCTTAACTAGTTGCAACTCAGGCTGATGAACTTACAACTAATAAGAAACCCCGATAAGTCACTCACGTCGATTCCACCAATACCGAACAGTTGCTCAACTTTCGTGACGATAGAGCAATTGAGACAGCCCGGTCAACCACGACCTATTTATAGAATCGTGACGTGACGCGTATCAGTCTCACTATCAAAGCTCACACAGAGGGATGTAAGGCAAGAGGTCACCAGTTATATTGATGCACTCATTCTTATTATTCATGCTCGGATTTCTGTGTATTATCCAGAAAGCCTCGAGAGTTTTTCTGGCGCCAATACTGTCCTCGTGGGCCAAAATCGTGCACTTAACGTCAAAAAAAAAAAATAAAACTGCGAACTGTTTTTACTATGCAATAAGAAAAGAGATAAATCAGTCATCAAAACTCTGACTTTTCAAAGAAAACCGCTCAGAAAAGAGCCTAACCTACTACCCTTTTTGTATAGTATTTTTCGGGTGAGTTGACGAAGTAAATGACCAAAAATCGAAAAAAAAAGCCCCAAACAGGGCGGGATTAATTTCTGGAAGTCATTAAAAAAGCTAGGGGTGTTCACTCATAGCTAAATACGAGCTATTCAAAAACTTATAAACGAGCAACATAAGTAATGGAGAATGTGCAAAAAACCGAATGCCTGATCAAATTGCCCTCTGCCAAGTGGCTCATCGAAGGCATAAAAAGAAAGGCAAGTCATGAGTTGAAACCTTGCAGTAAGATAACAACACAACACGAATTCCGGAAGGCTGTGGAGTCAGTGGCTCTCACAGAAAAATGACTGGTGATTCCGTTGAAGCGATGTACCTTATGAAATGCGTCTAGATAAGCATTACATTAGGCTAGGCCATCATTATGATCTACCAGTGCTTAAGGTGCTCAACCAAGTCTGTACCATATGGTCGCATGGGATGGGAATGGAGGGCTACGACGAGGTATTCTCCTCGACGGTGACACCAGACATACTTTTGTTGAATTGTTGGAGATTAAAATATTTTTCTGCTTCTTTCAATAGCCTTCGCATCAGTTTTACGTTCATTCACAAGTTTAAACTTTCATATGCTACTACTCTAGTTTTACAGGATGTCATGAGGCATAAACAAATAAGCTCGGTAGTACTTCTAATCCGCCAAACATTTCACGAATAAACACCCTGTGAATATGTAGATTCCAGGTGTCAAGCTGGTTGGGAAACAACGCGTGACTAAGCACCACTGGGGAAAGGGATGAATAGAGTTGCAAGCGCTCTCTAGCTCAGAGTAGTGACGGCAGACTTATGTAAGCAACTCTTTTCAAAGCGATTTCGCATCTCTAGAGAGAGGGTGCTTAAATAAGCTATCAGTTGAGCAACAGGTCCAGAGACCGCGGAGGAGAAATGACTTTCGGACGAAGGCGACCTGAGCAAATTCTACTGAGCTCTTCACCCAAAAATCCACTTGCAAACTGAAATCAATGCAACAAGCCATTCAAAGTTAGTGCCGATATACCATGGAAGGAGATCCGGTTGAAACTCTTTCCATTGATTAGAAATCTATGGTTCTGATGCTCGGTATAGAACCGTCATTCTTGGGAAAAGTCCTTTCTTCCCGCACCTAAGATGCCTTTCTTGTCAAGAGGTTGTCTGTGTGTACGTTTTAAAGCCGACAATGATTATGATCGACAAGTTTGTGTTGCTGCAGATGATTTTTTGAACAACTTCGTCCTAGAAATGGGCTTAAATAAGAAGATGTTCTGAAGAAAAGCAATTTTTTTTCTTGATGTCTTGTCAACCGCTACTATTTGGCTGCAGGGCAGAACGAAATTCTCACAACGTGGGTGAGTTATGGACAAAACGTCGGCCTCAGACGGAAACCAGACCCGTACTTGTGCTATCCAGGCCTTGTGCTCTTTATCTCAGTTTTTTTGTTCATGGGCACTGCAACAAATTTCTACCCTTGAACGACTGCGTGGATAAAAGAACCTGCGATAGGTTCAACAACCCTATAATGGCTCAGTCACTCTCCAATCACAATGTATAATGGCAACTGTTGAATGATTCTTTATAAGCTTACCCGTCATAATCCACACTGTCTGTTATCCATTCTCGCGAAGCTCGACGGAAATAAAGACGATGTAACAAGCAATTCCACAAAAATTTCATTAATCCTTATCAAGGCAGATTTTTCATAGAGTGACACCTGAGTGGTTCCGAACGAGACACCTGCTTTCTACGTTTTCGCGATGAGCCTGCTCTTATCACAGAAATACAGCTTACGTATTGAGAACATAAGCTCCGTCAGCATAGACTACTAGAATACCAAAAATAGCCGTTTATTGATTGTCGTTGCAACAAGGTTTACACCGCTGTCTACGAACTAGTGCTTGAATATCTTGAGGAACTTTCCGTTCAGGGGTAGTCCCGACATTCTGTTTACCCTTGGCACGCCGAAACCAAGGCATTCACTGCTTGTCGCAATCTTCCTCTTATCATGGTCCTCCGGTCCATGTCAGTGAAGTGAATCAGAGGTGGCTGGAAGGTCATGGAAGGAAAAGTGCGGAAGAGAGCCTTCGCGAGCTCGTGGGAATGCGCTATACTTACACTTCCTGGAGAGGTGAGGTCAAGGATGAATTGGGTGACCCGTTGAGCACAAGGAGTTAAAAGTACAGAAAAGATCTTTATTCTCAGTGTAAAGTAAACAATAGTTCATTGAACAGATCGATCGGCTTTGGTTGTATGCAACATTTCACTAAAGCGGATGCAGGTATTCGTGAGATATTCGTATGTGTAGAAGAAAATATTTGCCTGCTTTGTAGCACAATACCGTAATTATCCACCGTAATTATCCAGAGATCACTAAGAAAAAAGGCGAATTCGCGTCTTCTCCGCTTTGTACACCAGTCGGGTCGCTTGGCTAACGCCGGTCTTCCTTCCTTCTTAGGACAGAGTTGTAATAATCAGTTAACCGGCCGCTTCTTCTTCGGAACAGAGATACTTTTCGGAATTTGAAATTTGACAGAGGACTGACAGGGCTTGCGAGTGTATT